CAGCATTGCCCTTGTGAACCTCCTTAGGTCATACGAACTCATGTCTCTCCCGGGTACTAGCCCTCTTCTTTAAATCTATTGTAGAGGTCTCCAGCTTCTCTCCTATAGTCCTCGTCCTCTGAGCAGTTCCTACGAATTCGCATAAATTGACCTACAGGTATTCCCCTGATCAAGGAGCTGGGGTGGTAACTAGAAGCATGAAGGAGTGTATTTGCTGCAGTTTTTTTTTCCTAAAAGTTTTGGTCTTAAGTCCAACATTTTCAATCCTGATAGACAAATCAAGGAATGAAAAATCTCACGGGCATCAACTGTATAGGTCAATTTTAATATGGGAATTGTTACTAAGTTCCTCAGTGTACACTGCTTCCTCCTCCCACCACCCAAGATGGAGACAAGCATAGGCAGATGCCCATGGGGCACCCATAGAGGTGCCTCAAATCTGCTGGTAGTATACACCACCAGATTGGAAAAAGTTTTGATAAAGTGCCATCTCCAGTAGTTCAATGATAATTTCAAGATTTACTTGGGTAATGTTGTGTCCTCCGCAATTGCGGGTGCCTCATCTAAAAAACCAACCAAACGTTGCTCCTCTCTCTCACTTTCAGAGGAGGTAACGCCCTCTGTAGATCTTGATCACGAGCTTTGTTTCCTCCTCCTAGATCTACGTCTACCTTTTCAGGGTGAGATAAAAAATCTCCCCTTTCGCCCAATCTTCTAAATCTCTTTTAAATTTAGATTGTTTGGTAGCCTTAAGATTTCTTTGTACCTTCTCTATTTCCTTTTTAAGTAAATCATTGAACTTTACAAAATCAGGTTTATCTTGTGTGGTTCCAATTTTATTTTACTTTTCATCAATCTGGGTCTGGAGATCAACCAGTTGTAAATTTTCCTTATCCACTATCAGACGCATTAATTCCAACCCATGATCAATTCACAAGTGTTTCCACTTCTCTAAAAACCTGTTTTTTTGCAAATGGGTGGCTGGTATCACTCTCTCCTTTTTTAAGTCCCCTGGGATAATCTTATGGTTGATTTAGGACTCCAAGGAGAGGATATCCCACTTTCTATTCAATGATTTAACTATTCATTTTCTATGTTCCCTAAAAAGGATCTTGATAGTATCACCCTCTGGAGGATCTTGTTCCCTAATATCCTGGCTAAATGCTGCTCTAATCTCCTGCTCAATTTCTCCACCAATTGTGAATGCCATTAGGAAATTAACCAAATCGTATAAATATCCAATCTGACAAGTACCTAACCTTATAGTATGGTATGAATGGAAGATCATATATAAATTTAGAAAATAGGATATGTCCTTGATATAATTATAGAAAAGCTCCAAAGGGGATCAAACTTAAGTGGTTAAATAATTAAAACTAATACAGACAAGTATACACAGGAGTGTGGAAATTTTGGAAAATACTACTTGTCCAGGGACTAAATTTGTGTCCTAATCTACTTGTCCATCATGACAATCTACTTGTCCTCATAAAAAAAACACATTTTAACCAAAACTGTATTTAAAACTGCTTTAAATAATGTCTGGGGCTTTTTAAAAACAAAAGGGGCTTTATGGCGACATTTAATATTTTTAACATTATCTCCTCCTCCCCTCCCGAGAGACCCTGCAGTGTTGTGAGCACAGATTGGCTGCTCGTCAGGAAAGGGGAGTGTCGGACTTATCCTTTATCCATTTTTCTGCCAGAGCTGTTTTTGCGTTTTTTGCACACGTTTAAAAAAAATCGTTTTAGGCGTGTAGATGACACAGAACCCCCCAAACATATATTTTCTGAAAGCAGAGATCCTAGAGAATTAAATAGTGGTAGTTCCAATTTTTTATGTCACATGATATCACAACGGTCTAGGAAACACAAACTTTCAGTAAAAAATACACTTAAGTTAATTTTAGGGCACAAAAAGCAATAAACTATCCAATTTTTTTTTGTAAAATATAAAAGATTAGGCTGCAGCCAGTAAATAGATATCCAACATGTAAAACCTTAAATTTGCGTGCACTCGTGAAACGGCAACAAACTTTAGTACCCTATATTTGCTATAGGCGACACTTTTACAGCCCCTTATAGGTCATCAGTATAGTGCATGGAGTAGGTCTGGTGCTAGAATTATTGCTCTCATTCTGGTATGTGCGGTGATATATAACGTGTATTGCAATCCACATTTTCATGTGTAGGCACCCGAGTATGTGCTTTTACGTTTGTGCATGCATACATATGTGGGGGTGGGGGGGCCTTGAAAAATTTGGGGGTGTTATATGCTTGGGTGTAACTTCCATTACATTAAAAATAAATGTACTTTTTTTTTTTTTTTTTTTTAATTACATACGGGACAAAAAAGGTCCCCTGTGTGATTATTGTTTGGTGAGCCTGGACATATAGCGGGGGGGAGAGGCTGACACTGTGGGCTGTGTGGAAGCAATCGGCGGTAGCGCTGCTGCCCGAATGCTTCCACTTGACAGCTTAGCCCTGCTGCTTGCCCGCAGCAGGGCTAAGGGCAAAAATAAACTATGCCCTGCTCCTGGAACTACATGTCCGGGGCATCGGGCGATAGGAATTGGACATCCCTGATACCTCTCCCAGGTAGGGAAACCGATCTCAAATCATCATATTAAGTCACCTACTCACCATGATATTTAATAGGGTGGGGTCCTCAGAAACCAAACACACAGACCAAAAATTGTTAGGGGACCAGCAGAGGTTTAAAAGAGAGCCAACTGCGGTGTAATAAAATTAAACATCCTTTATTGAGATCAATATAGGTAATAGGGCCAAATAGCCAAGAATCCTCCACTCACCATTAAAATAAGGTAAGATAACGTTATCTCCTTAAAACCCCAAGTCCGAGCCACACTCATGCACTCACAAATGTTATAAACAAAGGAATTACAGCTCTTAAGAAGAGCCAGCCCCCCTTTTTCAAGGGACCAAAAGTAATTGGACAGTTGAATACAAAGCTGTTTCATGGCAGGTGTGGCTACTCCTTTATTTCTTCATCAATTAAGCAGGTACTCCTCTGTAGTTGATTCTAAGTGTGGTATTTGCATTTGGAATCTATTTCTGTGAACCTACATCATGCGTTCAAAGGAGCTGTCCATGCAAGTAAAACAGGCCATTTAAAGGCTTCAAAAACTAAATACATCCATCAGAAAGATATCAGCAACATTAGGAGTGGCCAAATCAACAGTTTGGTACATTTCCTAGGAAAGAAGAAAGTACTGGTGAGCTCAGCAACATAAAAAGGCATGGACATCCATGGAAGACAACAGTGGTGAATGATTCTCAGGATTCTCTATGGTAAAAAAAAAAACCCATTCACAAAATCCAGACAAGTGAAGGACACTCTCCAGGAGGTGGCGTATCATTGTCAAAGTCTACAATCAAGAGAAGGCTTCACAAGAGCAAATAGAGAGGTTCACCACAAGGTGCAAACCATTCATAAGCCTGAAGAATAGAAAAGCCAGATTAGATTTGCCAAAAAACATAAAAAAAAGCCAGACCAGTTCTGGAAAAACATTCTTTGGACGGATGAAAACTAAGATTAATCTGTACCAGAATGACGGGAAGAAAAAAAGTGTGGAGAAGGCTTGGAACTAATCATGATCCAGAGCACACACAATGTCATCTGTAAAACATGGTGGAGGCAGTGTGATGGCATGGGCATGCATGGTCTTCAATGGCACTGGGTCATTGGTGTTTATTGATGATGGGGACAGAAGACAGAAGCAGCCGGATGAATTCTGCAGTGTTTAGAGTGATACTGTCAGCCCAGATTCAGCCAAAAGCAGCCAAATGCAGCAACATTGTTTGGATGGCTTGTCGCAGTACAAATGGACAATGATCCAAAACACACTGCAAAAGCAACCCAGGAGCTTTTGAAGGAAAAGAAGTGTAATATTCTTCAATGGCCGTGTCAATCACCTGACCTCCATCCAATTGAACATGCATTTCACTTGGTGAAGGCAAAACTAAAGGCAGAAAGACCCACAAATAAAAGAACAACTGAAGACAGCTGCAGTTAGAGCCTGGCAAAGTATCAGAAAGGAGGAAACCCAGTCTTTGGTAATGTCCATGGGTTCCAGACTTCAGGCAGTCATTGCCAGTAAAGGATTCTCAAACAAAATATTAAAAATTAACATTTTATTTTATGATTATATTCATTTGTCCAATTACATTTGAGCCCTGAAAATGGAGAGACTGTGTATAAAATTGGTTGCAGTTCCTAAAATTTGTACTTGATGTTATGTTCAACCCCTTGAATTAAAGTTGAAAGTCTGAACTTCAAATTAATTTGGATTGTTTCATTTTAATTTATTATGGTGGCATACAGAGCCAAAAGTTATGAAAATTGTGTCTGTGTCAAATATATATAGACCTAACTGTATATTATATATGATTCTGCACAAAGCGGCCGCCCTGTAGCAGTAAAACTGCTATAGGGTGGTCAGTCAAGTGGTTTAAATTATGTCTTTGCCAAGCCAGCGACCTCCTATGTTAACTATGCAACAGGGCAGCTGTTCAGCATGGACGTGCAAGCTAGCGGCGATCACTGTAGGAACGATGCTTGATAAGCTCGATTGTGTTCAGACTTGGATCTGAACCCATATGTGCAAGCCCGCTAGAAAGCTCTTGCTTGTACGAGCCAATCATCTGTGGCTAGGGTAATGCCCACCCCATAGTCACTCATATACTGTACAAGGGGTGTGTATATGTGCAGCTGTGGGGCAGGAATGCCCTAGCTGCTGATGATTGGCCTGTACAGTGGACAATTATCCCGGCAGGCTCACGCAGGTGTTTTTTGAATCCAAGGGTGAACTTATCCAAGCTTATTACTAGTGCTTTGCTACTGTGATTTCCAGCATCTGCAGGGATCAGCCAGGTATGACACATGTATACTTATGTTGCTGCAAGCTGGAGCTGTGCAAAATAACCCATACCTAGTCTTAAAAAATATTTATTTCAGATGTTGCTTTTATTTTTTTGAAGGTTGAAACACCAATGTGGAGTTATATCAAAGTTTAAGAGAACTTCTAGAAAACAAAGCTGTTATGGATTCCTTGGATCCTGAGACCAGGTATATTATCTCACCTTAAGGCAACCCAAACGTCTCGTATTTTCTTATGCATCAAAATGAGAAGTTGCACATATATATAGTACAGTAATGAATTTTGTAGTAAGTAAAATATCTTTCTGTTGAAGTAAAGAAGGTGAAAGTTCTGTACTGTATTTACTCATGTTGTCTTGATTTTTAAAGGCGAGTGGCTGAATTGTTCCTATTTGATTTCGAGATCAGTGGAATCCATTTAGATCGAGAGAAGGTAAACTGTGCTTTCTACATTACCGAAGACCTTTGATATACACAATCCAATTACCAAATATAGCTGAGCAAATTTACCATATAAAAAGTTAAGTGTTATGCAGCCTGTAGATTGTTACTCTTTAACCGCCTCCCGCCCGCCATATAGTACAATGACAGGTGCAAGGCAGTTCTCTCATTCTGGAGGACATCATATGACGTCCTCCCATTCTAACTGCGCATGCGCGGGCTCCGGGAGTTCGCAGCGCCGGCTCCGGGAGTGCGCAGCATGGCGATCGGCAGTGCGCTGTGTCCCTCGGACACAGCGGATCACCGATCAACGGAAAGAGCCGAAGATGTTGGCTCGGTCATGTGATCAGCTGTGTCCAATCACAGCTGATCGCATGTAAATAGGGAAATGCCTGTTATCGGCATTTCTCTCTTCACGAGCTGTCACGCTGAGGGGACATGGGCACTTATGATCAGTGTGCCCTGATGATCTGTGTAGCCCCAGCAGTGCCAGCTGTCAGTGCTCATCCATGCTACCTGCCAGTGCCACATCAGTGCCTACCAGTGCACATCAATGCCACATATCAGTGCCATCTGAGCTGCCTTTCAGTGTAACCCATCAGTGCTGCCTATCAGTGCCATATATGAGTGCTGCCTTTCAGTGCCCATCAGTGATGCCTGTCAATGCCCATCAGTGCCACCTATCAGTGTCCATCAGTGCAGCCTATCAGTGCCCATTCACTACAGCCTCATTAGCGCACATCCGTGAAGGAGAAAAATCAGAAACTAAAAAAAAACTTTTTTTTTTTTTTCAAAATTTTCAGTGGTTTTTGGTTTGTTTAAGAAAAAAATAAAAACCCATGTCTTGGACTAGGTCACTTACGACCATTTACCGTGATCTACCAGTGAGCCAAATTAATATGAAGAATACGTGCACGTGGAAGTAAGACACTGACACGTCGCAGTTTGCCAACTTCCTAAAATTCTGTTTTATTGAGGAACTAACAGTATCATTTATAGGGCATATGATGCAGGCAAAGCATATACATTGATTGGGTGAAAAGTCCACTGGTTTCTGCGTGTTCGTCCATCCGTGTTGATATCTTCCAATCATTGTCCCCAAAGAGACTCATCCCTTTTATGGGGGTTGTTTACATGAAAAGATTACTTTTCTTCTCTAATGAGTCACCAAGGGCGAGACTCCGGATGAAGGCGCCATCTTAATTATCATCATTGTTCTGTCAACCTATATCTGATTGTTTACTTAAGAGAGTAAGGAATTTAAAGAGCAAGATACAGACAGTAGCAAGACTATAAAATTGTCATTTTACTGATTCATCTAATAAAACGTGGACTGTCAATCACAATCCACTACAATCCCCCCCCTTAAAATGGCTATTTTATTCTCTGACTGTCCCTATGTCTTCTGATGTCCTAACTGCCTGGTGGCCCTCCCTCCTGGAACTCTTTTTAAGACGCATATAGAGCCCCCTGAGTGCTAATCCATCCCTAGACGTCTCGATACGTCCTGAGAAGGCCACAGTCAGGCACTGTCTTTCCCTGCTTATCAGTTGTCTGTTAGGGGGGGGGGAATTTGTAGCATTACCCTTTTTTTTTTTTATAAGTCTGAAATATGATGATCAGGGCCATAGTCTGTAAGGGAGTATAGGATTCCCTTTCTTCACGGGGGAGTTTCAACATTGTTATAGTTCAGGAATGTAGGGGTGATCTCGTTCACAGCTTTTCCCTATTTTGATCCTTCTAAATGCAAGGGATCACACAGCAGGGCGACTATTGCCATTAGAATGATAATACCAGGATAACCACTCCCCTGCGTGGGCGAGGGCTTTCTGCCAGCCACTCAGCCATCCAAACCACTGATCCAGGGATGTGTAATACCTGAGTTTTCCTTAAGCTCATTTGACAGGTCCTCCAAAACCTCTTGATGGCCAGTGTCACCTTCCCATTTGGGCCTGTGTGTTATCTGGGAATACGTACAGCAGTCATGGTCTTTGGTATCATTTTACAGACCCCCCCCTTTTTCAGCTAATAACATATCGAGTGTCATACGATTTTGAAAGACCATGTTAGAAGTAGCCTCCAACTGCTCTGCTATCCCCTTTAAGGCTCTCGTGGTGTAGTTTACAAATCGTTGTTGATTATAGTAGATGTAGTTTATCCATCTCATACATTCTTGTTCTCAGTGATGAAGAGGAATAGGGGATTCAAATCCGCGGCCACCTGGTCTCTGGCCTTGAATTCATCGGGTACCCCCCTTGGGACTCCTATCGCATCTATATAGACATGGGGGTCAAAACTCCCTTGTGGGGCACTTCGTTTGTGCTTGGTTGCATGGGGGGGTTTGGGAGGCACCTTAAGTAATGGATCTGAGAGGATGTGCAATGGCATTAATGGCATGGAGGCGTGGGGATTGGGAGAAGGGAGAGAATGATTAAGGGGGGCCAACCACTCTTTTGAAAGGTATATATCTTTCAGTTGGAACTCACAATGGTGGATTGTGCCACCTCTGGGGTATAACACCCCTAGAGAAGGTAAGTTCCCTGATCTCCCGGACTCTCTATGGTCAGAGTAAGGGGGATGGGCTACAGTGAATTGCTTGTTCATTTTTGTGGATCACCTATCTACCTTAGGGGTGGTAAGTGAGTGTCATTCGGGAAATTAGAGATTTTCCATACCGGTCTTTCCGCTCTACTGCACTTTGTGGCTTATACCCCCAAACCGGTCTCGTGTTCCATCCCACTGATCCCCAGTTCTAGTAGCCACAATCTGCTCCCCAATAATTATCTGTAACACATATATATATATTGTGGAGGCAATGGGGACAGGTGTGTTCTTGCACAGGCTATGATTGAAGAAAAATGTTGCTACTTGTGTGTTGGATGAGTTATACCAAAACTGGGTGGAGTCACCTTGTGAGTGATGGCCACCTGTTGGCCCCTCCCATTTCCACCAAAAAAGGATATGCAACACAATCATTGTGGTGTGGGTGACACACGGACAGGGCCTCGTCCTCTGGAGCTGGAACCTTCTTGCAATGTGAGGCGTGTATCCAGGTGGACTTTCCCTCCAACTTCACTGAAGTGGCAGTCAACAGGAGCACCTGGCAAGGACCGTCATATCTGGGTTCCAATGTATGTTTTCGCAGAAACTTTTTGACCAAGACCCAGTCTCCAGGTTGTAAAGTGTGTGTTCCTATGTCCGCCTCAGGATCTGGAATGGAGGAGAATACTTGCACATGGATATTAGTCAACACACGTGTCAAGAGATCCCCCCCACATGAGTCAGACTGCAATTGTAATTGTTGAGGATAGTAGGTACCCAGTCTAGGGGCGGACCCAAACAAAAATCTCATAGGGAGACAACCCATGACTTCCCCTTGGTGTGTATCTAATGCTGAAAAGAGCAATAGGCAAGCTGTCCGGCCATTCCATGCCTACCTCTTGGGCCATTTTTAATATTCTTGACTTCAGGACCCCATTTAGGCGCTCTACCTTCCCACTACTCTGGGGATGATAGGGTGTGTGAAACGCATGTGTGACCCCCAGAGCCTCCCAGATTTCTTTTGTGACATTGGCAGTAAAAAGCCGGTCCCTGATCGCTTTCAACCACCTCGGGCACTCCATATCTGCAGACTATCTCCGTGAGCAGCTTCTTGGCAGTGGTTCTTGCCGTCTGGTTGGTTACTGCGAACGCCTCTGGCCATCCTGAGAACATATCCACCACCACTAGGGCATATTCAAATCATCCACTTTTTGGCATCTGGATATGATCTATCTGGATCCTCTGAAATGGATATAGTGCTCTGGCCAGATGTTTGCTTGGAGGTTTCTCAGGTCTTCCAGGATTGCACTTGGCACATACAACACAAGACTTACAGAATCTGTCTGTGTAAGCCGTAATTCCGGGTGCCACATAGTATTTACTGATCAAAGAGTTCATTAGCATCTTGGACAGGTGTGACGCTCCATGTGCCCACTGCACTGTTGCCGGATATAAGGATCTGGGAAGCAAAACCTTCTTCCCCACCACCCACAATCCTTTGTCCTCAACTGCTCCTTTCTGCATCCATTCCTTCCTTTCTTCTTCTGAAGCATTATCCTGGGCTTCCTGGAGTTGGTTGTCCTTGGGCTGATGAATTAGCACAGGCATCACCTCACTGCACATCTCTTCATCCTCTTCCTGCTCCCTGACCGCAGCTTGCTTAGCAGCCATGTCTGCCAGATGATTTCCTTTTGCTTCCATACTGGGTCAATTTACCGTGGGCCTTCACCTTCAGTATGGCCACTTGGGCTGGTAGTAAGAGTGCTTCCATAAGGCGGTTGATCGCCTTTCCATGCTTTACAGGAGTCCCAGCTGCCGTGAGAAAGCCCCTCATTTTCCAGATTAGGCCAAAATCAAGTGCAACCCCCAGTGCATATCTGGAGTCCGTGTAAATGTTCGCTGTCTTTCCTTTTGTTAATTCACAGGCTTTGGTGAGGGCCCTTAGTTCAGCCTCTTGTGCAGACATAAAAGGTGGAAGAGGTCTAGCTTGCAGTACCATTGTGTCGGTAGTCACAGCATATCCAGTGTGGTAGGTGCCAGCATTATCTGCAAAGCGGGATCCATCCACAAAAAGTATTAGGTCAGGATTTGATAGGGGCGTATCATGGACTGTTGGTAGGTGTGTAGTTTCTGCCTGCATAAGTTCCAAACAGTCATGTACCACATCCTCTGGTGCCATGTCTTTGGTGTCTTCTTCTGCTTCGTCTACCCCCCCTGGAAGAGGGAGAAGAGTTGCAGGGTTTATCTGGGTGCATCTGACCAGGGTGACATGATCAGGTAAAGAAGGGAGCCTTGCAGTCGCAGATGCCTGGCGGCAGATAGATGTTTTGGTTGGGTTTGGTTCAGTATTGCGGTAATGTCATGCGGGGCCAGAAGTGTGAGTGGATGTCCTAAGACCAAATCTGCCGTTTTATCCAGAAGAAGATGAGCAGCAAAAACAGCCCTCAGACA